AAAAATGGAGATGCCGGGGATCGAACCCGGGGCCTCATACATGCAAAGCATGCGCTCTACCACTGAGCTACATCCCCACTCCCTCCCGTTCTTTTCTCGCCAGTGCCCTAGTCACTGGATTGCGCAAAGCTCCGCAAGGCAGATCCTCCGGTTGCCAATCTCGAGCAGTTGCAAGATCCTGGCCTGGAGCTCTGCGCCACCTAAGCTCGCAAAAGGAGCGGGTCTTCCCGGAGCGACCGCAGACGGCGGACGAACCGGCCAGAAGCTGGGCTCTGTAATGGCAAAGGAGCGGGGTCGGGGTTGGGGAACTCGTCAGGCTCCATCAACAGCGGGGACGGGAAGCTCGAGAGGCTGGAGGTGGGAAGCGGTTTCATTTTTTAAAAACGGAAGATAGCGTAGTAAAAGACAGAATGTTTAAACAGAATAATCCAAACTAATGAATTCATTTGCTCGAGAGCATAGCGGATGGGCGGGAAATCCACTGCTCGGTATTTTCGGAATGTTAAATTTAAATCCGTTCTATCCAAGAAAAAGTTTGCAGCGCTTGCCCAGAACTGCTTTGGAACCTGGGAGTCAGGCCGAGAGCTCACAGCGCTGTTGGTCCTCTAGGCCTGGAGGGCGGACGGAGCCAGTGGTGGGAGAGACCGTCTGCTGACATGCACTTTTAAACTGTGTGATGTGTAAGCTTCATGGACAAGATTGCTTTTGAAACAAGACTTGAAGATAGGTCAGCAGTGCCCGCACAGATGGCGGAATAGGGCGACAGGTCCGTTGATTCCTGAGTCTGGGTAATATTTCGAAACGTCAATCATGGAAGAACTGATTTTCCAAAAACTGGCATCTAATCAAAACGTTTCAGCATAGCATCTCCCCCCACCCCATGAGTCAGTTGCCCGACAGGCTACTGAAGAAGACTGCCACGTTCGGTTTTAAACAGTGTTATGGACTCGAGATTTGAGTAGAAGAGTTATCAAGTAAAAAACTGCAAAGCTAAGAGTGAGCTACTTGGGAGCTATGGTCCACAGAAATAACTGTTCTTGAAACAGGGTCTGACCCCCAACTAGAGCCAGGGATGATCAACTCTTGATCTTGTGTCTTCATCTCTCAAATGCTATGATTACAGGCCTGTGACACCTGGCCCAGCAAATAAACATACTTATGGCTATACTCTGACTTATGGGGTACTAGTAGGTAGGGCCTTAGGTGGGCTGCCCATGCTTACCCCTCCCCCAGGCAACTTGCCCTACAGTCCTGTGCCAGAGGATGGTGGTATTTCTTAGTCCCAGTGTAGTAGGCTACAAATCAGCAGTCACCACTCGCCAGTGAAAAGCAAAGAAGGACGCTTTATTTATGGCCAGGCTGTCCCTGGACTCTGGTTGAGTGCTCAAGGAGCAGCACCCACTCATGGCTGCAGTTTTTATAGACAAGTGCAGTGGTCAGAGTTTAAATTCCAAAAACAATCATAATCCCCTATCCAAGCTGACGCAAGCAAGCACAGTTTTACAGAAGCAGGTGTATGCAATTTAGCAGTTGCATTTGTTCTTGATCAAAACATTCTATGGTATTTGCTGTTATTCGGCTCCCTGATATTGCACGTTTATTTTGGCTTCAAAGGTTTCAAAGGTTGCAAGGGAATAACAAGTACAAAATTCACCTTACGTGTAACTATTAACCTATTCAGAGACAGATGATGGTCACTTTAAAATGGCATTCCTTTGGTTTAGTTAGGGACCCTCACCACTTCACCAGAATTCCCTCCTTCAGCTGATTTAATGTTTCTTATCTGAAAAATAATTGTAGGCAGAAATCCATTGAATTTGCAAAAGAATAAAAAGGTTCCCCTAAGGAGGAGGCAAGGAGAAAGAGGAGAAGGAAGGGGATCAAGTAAAGGCTATGATACAGAAAGCCGTCTTCCTGACTTGTAGGGATATCTAGAAGCCCCAAGTGGCTGGATTATGGTCAACATCAGAGACTCATAGGAGATGAGGACAGAGGGGTGTGGGTACAGGAGCTGGGGGCAAAATTCTAGGGGGGGCTTGAGGTTATTGTTGACTTCAATTGCAGCCACTGGAGGATTTTGAGCAGAAGGCTGGGATATGTACGGTGGCATCCTCAGCACTGGGAAGGGTCCCTCAAGTCAAGAGAGTAGAGTAGAAGCCATCACAAAGGAGTAAATGTAGACAGAGGCTCAGGGACTGAGCTAGGGTAGGGAGGGGAGTGGAAAATCACAGAGGCCAATAAGAAAGTAAGAGAGAGGCCTGCAAAATAATAGAGTGAAGACTGCTTAGCCCTGACTAGGATACCTATATCAAACCTATATTTCCCAAGCCTCAGGGATCTTTGTGGAAGAAGGGACAGAAAGTTTTGTGAGATCCAGAGTGGTAGATGACCACAGGAAATACTGTTTTCCAGACAGCTGGGGAGTTACTTGTATATGCTGTCACAACAATGGTGACAGCATATACAAGTCTCATGCAAGCTCAAGCCAGACAAAGTCCCAGCATAGAGGTAGAGACTAGACATGGGTAAGAAATCCCAACCCTAACTGAGGAATTATTGTCAACTGATAGCTGTTGGGGAAGGGAGAATCAGTTTTCTTTAAGGCTGTGACTCTGGGGAAGTTGAGCAGGCTCCAGTGGATGGACCCACACCAAAGGGCATTTGTGTGCACAAATTAGACTCAATAAGCCATATGTGTGTATGTGTTTATATATATATATTAATTACATGAAATCAGGTGGGTGTTGTAAGGGGAGGTGCAGAGAGGGAAGGGTTTTAATATGATTAATATGATCAAGATATATTGTATGAAATCCTCAAAAATTCAGTTAAAGAAGGAAGTAGAAGGCCGTAGGCATGGAGAGAAAGGGGAAGTGTAATGTTCTGAGAAGTGGAAAGGGAAAAACAATGGCATCAGGAGGGATTCATCAGAGAGCAGGCTGGCAAGGTCTTTAGACTGAGTTAGAACTGTGTAAGTCAGTGGTGACTTGGACAAGAGTATTTCTGAGAAGGTCGGGGAGGAAGCCTGACCGGAGTGGCCTCCAGACAGAAACAGGAGAGGATACAAAAACAGGGAGGATATGGAAACAGCTCAGGAAAGGGTCTGTGGAGTCCCGCGGAGGGTCAAGAGAGGGTTAGGAGGTTTGGGAGGTGACAGTGAGGGTGGAATAATACTTAAAGAAGTGGGGAAACCGATTAAATATATTATTTATTCAAAAATTAAAGGAGGAAGACGGTTGCAAGAGATGGAGTTGCAAAAGTGGACACAAGCTGTGCTGGGGGCTGGGGAGAAAGGGCCAAATTCCAAACCCTAAGTTTAGCTCAGCGAAGTGCCTGGATGAACCGGTGCCTGGGGAACCTGACACCGTGCTCCGATGCCAGGCCTTTGCCCTGTAGTGCAGGGTCAACCTCGGTTGGCAACCGGGAGTGGAGCCCAGCTGGGCTGGTGTGCTCACCTGTCCCAGCCAGTTTCCACTGCGGATTGGATCGTACTGGGGCGGCCTAGAGAGGCTGAGGGAGGGTGGGGGGTGACAGAGGGAAGGGCGAGGGTGGGGGCTGTGGGTACCTAGAGCGAGGGTACAGCGCGCTGTCCCGTCTTTGAAGGTGCACCCCCGCCTCCGCTTCCCCCTAGGAGTACCCTCGGCTCACTTCTCAGCTTGCTCGGTGTCGCCCCGCCCTTCCTTCCTCCAGTGAGGCCAGGCGGGGCCGCCCAGCTCGGAGCCACGTCCTGTAGCATCCAGGGCCCTCCCTGTACCGAGGACACCGATGGCCGCCGTGGGGCCGCGGACGGGGCCCGGCGCGGGGGCCGAGGCGCTGGCTCTGGCGGCAGAGCTGCAGGGCGAGGCGACCTGCTCTATCTGCCTAGAGCTTTTCCGGGAGCCGGTGTCGGTGGAGTGCGGCCACAGCTTCTGCCGAGCCTGCATCGCGCGCTGCTGGGAGCATCCCGGGGCGGGGACTACCCGCGCGCTGCCCTGCCCGCTGCCCTGCCCGCAGTGCCGGGAGCCCGCGCGCCCCAGCCAGCTGCGGCCTAACCGGCAGCTGGCCGCCGTGGCCACGCTGCTTCGGCGCTTCAGCCTGCCCGGGGAGCGCGGGACCTCGGCCGCCACCGCCCCCGGCGCCGCCGCCCGCTGCGCGCAGCACGGAGAGCAGCTCAAGCTCTACTGCCAAGACGACGGGCGCGCCATTTGCGTGGTGTGCGACCGCGCCCGCGAGCACCGAGCCCACGCGGTGCTGCCGCTGGAGGAGGCAGTGCAGGAGGCCAAGGTGAGCGTAGGGCCCAGCCAGCCCAGCTCCGCGACCCTGGGCTCTGTCTGGTCCAGCCTTCCCACCTACCGTGCAGACCACAGACAGGCAGACTGGAGAGGCCAGAGAGGTGGGGAGTCCTCGCCTTCTGTCCGCCATCCAGGGCCGCGGTCTCTCCTGGTCCCCCCTGCAATACACCGAGTTTCCTTCTGAGCCTGATACAGGGCGGCCTGGGCAATGCTTCCAGGGACCTTGAGATGCTAGAGACTGTATTCTTGTCTGTTCCCAACCTTTAGTTAAGTCTGCATTATTGAGACTCTTTGCGCAGGAGAAAGTCTCTGTAACACCCACACAACCTTTGTCCCCACTCTCACCCGTTTCCCAGGGGCGTGGCTCTACTCAAAGCATCCACTTCATAGGGGGCCCCGTTGAGAAGACCTTGCCAAGAGGTTTTGGTGTGGGGCTCCTGGGTTAAGTGGAACACCTCCAGTGGTCTGGGCTGGGCCAGACTCATGGATTCAAGGCAGACCCTCCCCACTCCTTTGAGTGTTCTTTGCTGGACAGCAATATCATAGGGCACCACAGCCCCCAGTCTTGGCTGTCTTGTTCTCATCCAGCGACTCCAGCTGGGGACGTTCTGTTGCTTGGGAGGAGAGCAGATGAGAAGACAAGGTGAATTACTGGGCTGATCTGGTGGCGGGGATGAGTTTCACTGTAGACCCTGTGACTGATACTCCTGGGGAAGTGAGAGTCCTGGGCCTTTAGAGTGCTCCTGAGTTGTTTGCTCTGTACTCCGCGTTTGCTCTGTACCCCTAGGTGTAGTCTGCACAGGCTGGGTTCATTCACCCTGACACCCAGAGACGCCTTCACCTTGCCTCCTGATCCAAAAGCAAAGCCTTTACTTTCTCCTGAAAGGCTCTAGAGGGTTTCCAGAATCCTCTCCCCACAATGTCTCCCTTCATACTGCAGGAGCTGCTGGAGTCTAGGCTGAAGGCCTTGAAGAAGGAACTGGAAGACTATGAGGTGTTCCGATCTACCGAAGAGAGGGAGAGCAAAGAACTCCTGGTGAGTCCAAGTGTGAGAGGCATAGGGGTGTGGGTGACCAGGGTTGGTGTGTGTGTGAGTGTGTGTGTGTGTGTGTACAACAGGATAGATTCCAGAAAGATAAGAAGGAACATGTTATGAAGGATAACCACAACATTTCTACAAACCAAAGCTTTTAAAAGTGAAAGGGACTGCTCAAATAATCATTGTAGAACAGCTGGCTTCAACTGGAAATGTCCAGTGAATTAGGAGGTACAGTTATTAGGACCTAACAAGCCTATTAGGACCTGCAGAACATCTTGTAACTGAATACATTAATATTTCTTCAGAGAAACACATGATTATCCATACTAAGTGGAAACATAAATACAATATAAAGTGTACCTTTTCAGAGTTTTGATTTTGGAGTTGAGGTGAAGAGAGGAAGTACTCCAGGGTTATCAGAGCTGCTCCTGGCTCTGGCAGATGGCAGGAGGCCTGGAAACTCGGGGACTGTGCAGCCCTGGTGTCCTGTATCTCCAATTTCAAAGGAAGGTGAAATTAGGTTTGTTCTGATCACGATGAACAAACATGAGCCACTGTCGTTTTCTACCTTGAAAATTCAGTTTCTAGCTCAATAAATGGGACTGAAAGAGTGAGAGGACCCATGAAGGCCTGTTAGGGCAAAGCCATTTGTTGATTTCGCTGGGAGCCAGAGGAGAGGAACTTGAGGACACTCTTACTCTTTTTAAAAATTTGTACTTATTATCATTAGTATTGTGGGGGGCGGGGAGAGTGCATGTGCCATGGCCTGTGTGAGGAGGTCAGAGAACAACTTCATGGAGTCAGTTCTTGCCCTCCACCTTTACATGAGTTCTGGGAATTGAACTCAGGTTGCCAGATGTTCAATACTTGCTGAGACACCTTGACAGCCTTACTCTCCTTTTCTGAAGGTCAGGAAGGGAAAGGGACGACTCTGGAATTCAGATTCCGCAGGGTTCTCTCCTGACTCTTAACTGGTTTTGCCCCTGCGTCCATTGGCTGTCCTAGGCCTTCACATCTGATCATTCACTTCCCTCCCCAAGACAAAGTTTACTCTTCTAGACTTTCATTCCACCTTTTCAGGAGAGAGGAGTACCTGTGTAGCTCTTCAGTCTTTGTTTTATATCCACAACTCAGAGGACATTCTATATGGCCTGGGAAACTTCTCAGCTCTGACCCAACTCCCCATGATGTTGCTGAGCACCTTCCATTTCTGTTCCCTCCTAACCCTACTTCTGACCCAAACATCATTTACAATTATAAAATACAGGTTTGATGAAACAACAGAGATCCGTTCAACTATTGCTAAACAACAAAAAGGAGGGAGGGCCGGAACTGTGGCTCAGGGGTGGAGGACTTGCCTGGCATGTGAAAGGCCCTGGGTTGGATCCCCAGCACTGTAGAGGGCAGGGAGAGGGGATACTGTCATCTGAAAATGCCCTTAATAACCCTGGGGTCCATCTAGTACTGTCTGGAGATGCTTTGGGTTGTCAGCACTGGGTGAAGCCTTCTGTCTCCAGAAGCCTGTTTTCTCCTGCTATCACACATTACTGACTAACTTACTTTATAAAAAAAAGAAATTACTTAGTTCACAGTTCTGGAGGACGGGAAGTCCAAAAAGATGGTGCCAGCAGCCGCTCAGCTTTTCATGATGTAACAGAATGGAGGACATCACGTGGCAAGATAGAGCAAGTGTGTTAGCTCAGGTCCTTTCCTCCCTCCCTCCCTCCCTCCCTCTCCTCCTCCTCTTCCTCTTCCAGTTTTTTTTTTTGTTTGGTTGTTTTCTTTTTTTGTTTTTTGTTTTTTTTTGTCCTTTTGAGACAGGGTCTCCCTGTAGTCCCAGCTGACCTGAACTCACTATGTAGACCAGGCTGGCCTTGAACTCACAGAGATACCCCTGCCTCTGCCTCCTGAGTGCTGGGATTAAAGGCATGCATGCTCCACCACTCCTGGCCCTCCTCGTTTTAAAAGTCTCATTATGTAGCCCAGGCTCCCCTTGTACTTCCTGTCTCAGTCTCCTGAGCACTGTGATGCACTTCCAGGCACAGACAGCAAGAGGTATTTCAATAAACACTTTCACTTATGTTGTTGCCTTGGGGTCAATGCTGTGTTGTTGATGGAAGTTCAGACTCTACTGTCAGCCTCCTGGTGTTAGAATCCTGGATTGTTAATGATCAGCAGTGGGTCTCCTCACCTGTAAAATGGTATGAGACGTGTGCCACCTCTTGGGTTGTCAGGGGCGAGTGGATTAAAGCAGACTGTGCTCCTGCTGTTTGTCCAGTGTCTGATGATGGAGGTTAGTAAGTCAGGGGCATTGTGGGAAGTCTTAGGAGTCATGATCTGAGCCCTGACTTCTCTCTCTCTCACAGTCTCCTCCTTTTCCATCTGTTTCTCCCTTTTCTCTGGAGTTGTCAGGGGAGAGGACTGCTTATAACTGAGCTTGTGCTGTGGGGACAAAATTCTTACTTCTCAAAAAAAAAAAAAATCTTACTTGTCACTAGCCATGAAAGGCCTTGCTTACTGTATTAGGATCTTGCCACAGCAGTGTGTTCATGTAAAAAAAAATAATAAATCAAGATATCAAGACTGGGGCTGGAGAGATGGCTCAGCAGTTAAGAGCACTGGCTGCTCTTGCAGGGGACCTTGGGTTTGATTCCCTACACCCACATGGCAGGTAACAGTCATCCTTAACACCAGTTCCAGGGGATCTGATGCCCTCTTCTGGCCTCTGTGGGCAATGCACAGCATGGGTGCACTTACATACATGCAGGCAAAACACTCATACACATAAAAACTAAATAAATAAGAGGTACACACAGTGCGCATGTGTGGCTCTTCCTCTGATCTCCCAGTGAGGGGTTACAACCCTGCCCTGGAGGATGCCTCAGCGCTCCTGTCGAAATGTGACACCCATGTTCCCTCACCTCAACTCCTCTTCTCCTGAGACAGAAGCAGATGGCAGCAGAGAAAGAGAAGGTGGGGGCAGAGTTCCAGGCACTGCGGGCCTTCCTGGTGGAGCAGGAGAGCCGGCTCCTGGGCCGTCTGGAGCTGCTGTCCTGGGAAGTGACACAGAAGCAGAATGAGAACCTGGCCCGGTTGGGGAGTGAGATTACTCAGCTGTCCAAACTCAGCAGTCAGATCCAGGAGACAACTCAGAAGCCAGACCTTGACTTCCTCCAGGTGAGTCTGGCTCAGCCAGGGCCTTGAGGCAACTTCCCTAAGCATTAGAAAGGCTGCTAGAGAACAGTCAGATCCTGTGAGGAAGGGGATCACAGATAGGGGCTCTCAATTCCCTGGGGTTGGAAGTCTAAAGGGCTATGATAAAACATTCGTAAGCCGTAATAATTTACCTTACATTGTATTCTGTTATACATGTACTTGAGACAAAAATCTCAGTGCAATCCAAATTCACCTTAATGCACTCTATGCTATTCTATTTCATCAAGGAAAAAAGTCATCAGCCCACGGATAAACCACAAAAGGGTCAAGCACAGTCATAGAAAAGACACTAGTCTGTTGTATGGTATGGTCCACACTTGGAATCCCAGCACTTGGGGGGGTAGAAGTGGAAGGATTGGGAGTCCAAGGCCATCCTCTGCTACATATCCAGTTTGAGGCCAGCCTGAGCTACTTGAGAGCCTGTCTCAGACACAATAAGCAAACAACAACAACAACAAAAAGACATAGTGACTTGCTTGAAGTGGTTCCTAGGAGAGGCAAACTCTGGGTCTTGTCACATGTCAGCTCCAGGGATGATTTTACAATGAAAGCTTTGCAAATCTATGACTTGGATTAAAAGGTACCCTGAGCTGACATAACACTCAGCAGCCAGCCCCAGCTGGAAACTACTCTCAGCTGTGTTCAGTGGGGCATGGCTTATTTTCTGCTGGAGAGGATAGGGGACAAGTCTTGTTTTCTCAAAAGTGAGTGGAGGTTACCTAATGCTGATTTGGTTTTCTTCTATCTTTTCCTCCAGGAATTCAAAAACACACTAAGCAAGTAAGTGAACCCAACAGTTCCACAGTTCTTTGATTTTTCCAATCTGGCTTTCCCTCCCACTGAGCAATCTCTTCATCCAAAGCCCATCTCTCACTTCCTGATCCCCATACCTTACTTTATTAGCTGGGTACCTTCGGAGGTATAAGCCCACCTGTATGGCTTTGGGAATCCCTGCATAAAGTCTGACTCTCCCTTTTCCTCTTACTGGAAGCAACTGAGGAGAGAGAAAGAGATAGATAGATGATAGATAAAGAAAGAAAGAGAGAGAGAGCCCTTTTGAATATCCTATTCAAAAGCAATTCTTAGCAACAGGTGTGCAGTGTGTACCTTTAATACCAGCACTCCTAGGCAGAGGCAGGCAATCTCTGTGAGACCCTGTCTCAAAATAAATAAATAGATAAATTTTAAAAAGGCAATCCTTTCATTATGTAACTAACTTCCACCAAGTCCCACCTTTTAAAGGTTCCCCATCCCCTGATAGTGACACAGACTGGCAGTCAAGCCTTTAACACATAGACCTTGGGGCAACAAGAATTCAGAAACTAATTGTCACAGCCCAGTGGGCATAGGACAGCATTCTTGGGACTTCATCAGGGTCCCTGTCCTGCAGGAGTAGCAGTGTGCCGGGTTCCAAGCCGACCACAGTCTCATCTGAGATGAAAAATAAAGTGTGGAATGTTTCCCTCAAGACTTTTGTCTTGAAAGGGCTGCTGAAGAAGTTCAAAGGTAAGGGTCTGGGCGTGGGCTGGGCCATGCAGCGTAGGGTGGAGGTGATGTGTGCCTGCTGGTTCATGTCTTTCTAGAAGAGGACACAAGGGCTAGGGCATGCTGAGGTGGTATTGACAGTTGAATCTCTCTGGGGTTTCACCCCTGGGCATGCTCCTTCCCACAGGGACAATCAGGTTGGAAGAGTACTAGGGCAGAAAGAGGGCTAAGGAAGGAAAGCTCAGGTTAGACCAGCTGCAAAAAGAGATAGGGAAGAGGGAAGGGGTGCAGCTAGCATACTTGGGAGTATGGCCCCTTTGCCTGATGCTTGGCTCTGCACACACCTCAGCTCTTGGTCTCCAGAGTATCTGTGTTGGATGGACTTTAAGTGTTGGGAGAGGGAGTTTCCTGTCAGGTGATCCCCAGTGCCATTCACACACACCCTGCTTTGTTTCTCCTCAGAGGATCTTCAGGAAGAGCTGGAGAAAGAGGAAAAAGGTATGGGTGGGGACTGTGACTATGTGTACAGACAGGCCAAGCAGGGACCTGCCCCCTACTGGAGGCTGTCACTCTGGGCTTTAAAGGTGCTTGATTCCTTCTGTCCACCCTCCCAAGTGACTGGACCAGTCTGCTGCCTTCTTGGGCCTCTTGTGGTAGCTCTGACCTCTCTGGTGGCAGTGGTATCCACTGGCCTGGAAATTGTGGGTGATTAGAGCTGGAGTGCCCTGGTCTCAGGCCACTTAGGTCAGAGGAGTGTTTTCAGTCTCTTGGATGAGCCTCTCTCCCTTACCTCTACGGATGAAGACCTCTTCTAGGGTTGGGGGTTGTGTGTGGGAAGCGGGGGAGGGGTGGGGGGCAATGGAAATAGGGAAACTGCGGTCCTGCCGAGCTCTGGGATGTGTAATCTAACACCCAGGGGCGGGAGGGGCACTGGGTTTACCTGGGGAGGGTCTGAGGCCATGGCTGTCCTCTGCTCAGAGCCCTGCAGCGGGGCGGCCCCTGTCAGTATGGCCCCGCTTCCTTCGGCTGATCACTCACTGCCTTTCTCCTCACTCAGCTAGGAAGAAGCTGCAGAGGGGCAAGGAGGCTCATCTGCCTCGTTCTCTGTGGTATTCCAGGGCCAGGAACACAGTAGTGCTCACCAGACAGTGCATGAGTGCATGTTTTAGCCCTTTCTTGTGGAAATTTTCAAACATATTTAAAAGTAGAGAAGACCATAATGCATGCTGTGTGTTTTCTGTTTTGTTTTGTTTTGTTTTGTTTGGCCTGGAACTCACTCTGTAGACCAGGTTGGCCTTGAACACATAGAGATCCACCAACCTCAGTCTCCGAGTACTAGGACTAAAGGTGTGCACCGCCAGGCCCAGCTGTATGTTATATGTGTTTTCATCATACATCATCAATAATTAGCAAATTGTTGCTAATATTTTCACAGACATTGTGCCCAGTTCTCATTGGGTCATTTTATAGCAGATTGCATATACCATCATTCTATATTTCCATAAATACCTCAGTGTGCTATCTCTAAAGAGACAGAATTTATGCTGGCTGGTCTGGAACTCACTACGTAGACCAGACTGGCCTTGAACTCAGACATCTGTCTGCTACTGCCTCAGGAGTGCTGGGACTAAGGGTGTGTTTGCGTCACCCCACTGGGCAAGATAAAGACTTTAAAAACACAGTACAAAACCATCACATTTAGAGAACGTGATGCTTCTTTCCAGTATCTAATTTTCAAATTTTCCCAGTTGTCTGTATTTTGAGACAGGGTCTCATGTAGCCCAGGCTTGCTCAGACTGGCTATGTAGCTGAGGATGGCTGAATACTGATTCATCTGCCTCCACCTCCCAAGTGCTGGGATTACAGGCTTTCTCCACCATCCTGGCTCCCCAACTGTCCTTGAAATCAGTATTGTTGACCTCTTTGAACTCAGATCCACATTGCATCTTTGATTTTAATAAGTGCTAGAGAGAGAGAGAGAGAGAGAGAGAGAATGAGAATGAATGAATGTAACTTTGTAACTTGTAACTAGGGGGCACCTCTCCTTTCTCTGCCGGCAGTGGAGCTCACTTTGGACCCCAACACGGCCAACCCCCGCCTCATCCTGTCCCTGGACCTGAAGAGCGTGCGCCTTGGACAGCGGGCCCAGGACTTGCCCAGCCACCCCTGCCGCTTCGACACCAACACCCGGGTGCTGGCGTCCTGCGGCTTCTCCTCCGGGCGGCACCACTGGGAGGTGGAGGTGGGCTCCAAGGACGGCTGGGCCTTCGGGGTGGCCCGAGAGAGCGTGCGTCGCAAGGGCCTCATCCCCTTTACCCCCGAGGAGGGCGTCTGGGCCCTGCAGCTCAACAGCGGCCAGTACTGGGCGGTGACCAGCCCTGAGCGGACGCCCCTCAGCTGTGGACACCTGTCCCGGGTGCGGGTGGCGCTGGACCTGGAGGTGGGGGCCGTGTCCTTCTACGCGGTGGAGGACATGCGGCACCTCTACACCTTCCGTGTCAACTTCCAGGAGCGTGTGTTTCCTCTTTTCTCTGTTTGCTCCACTGGCACCTACTTACGAATCTGGCCTTGAGAGACTCTGCACAGCGTTTTAGGAGGGGATGGATGAGCAGCGGGGAAACTCCTCTTCTTGGGACAGAGCCACCTACTGAGCCTTGGACCAGCCCTCCACACTCCTGCCCCAGGCTGCTGGGAACCCTGGAGGTACTGAAGACTGAGGAAACAGGCCCTGTGGGTGGGAGATGCCTTGGATTCTTGGCATCCCTTCCCTCCTTGTTATACTCTTGTGGATTTGTCCTGAACAGAGAAGAGATGGCCCTCCATCATACAAACGCCGAACTCTTAACAGGGGTGCTTCGAACCACATGGGTTACCACCCTATATAAAAGGGTTTTTGGTTCTAAACTCTGGTCCTGCTGCACCGGGTCAGGATTGGCCCTGGATCAACCAGGTTCCTATCACTTTGCCTTCTTGACAGCTCCTGGCTCTGCCTTGATGGGGTCAAGAGACCTCTGGATCCAGTTAGTCTGACTGGGTTGTTTAATGAAGGAGGAGCTCTGTAGTCTGGCTCAGAAGACTGCCTGACTAGATCTGGAAACCCTTGACTCATACAAGAGGGAAAAGGCCGGGACAGCAGTGCACATGTTGCTATTCCCCCGGCACTCCTTTGCCTGATGGTACACACTGATATGTGCATCCTTGACCAGTGACACCCGACATGTGTTCTCACAGGTACCTAGGCTTCCAGCATCAGTGGGTAAAAAGATCAACGGTTCCGGAATTGTGAAACACAGGTCAACACATAATTTTACAGATGCAGCTAGCAGTGCCACAGGCCTGACAAACCCTTTCTGGAACTTGCCAAATGTATGCTAACTGCAGAGCATCCTGATGTCAAGGCCTGCTTAGCCTCTGCCCTGGAGGGGTTCAGTAGGCAGGCTCCTTGTCTTCTTAGTTGACTGACTGTCTACCAAGCTGGAAGGGCAGTAGTGGGCTGTTCCCTGCTTAGTGCTCCCCTGGGAGCAGGAGGGGAACTGGAAATACAGGTTGTGAGTACATCTCTAGGAGTGGCTGGACTTATTCTTGACTCCCTGTTCTGACTGCAAAAGGACACGTCTGAGGGTTTCTGCTACACAGCTCTCCACTTGCTGCCCAATTATGAGGACCAGAGTTCAGATCCTAACACCCAAGTAACAAGCTGGGCGTCTGGCAAATGCGTATATCTCCAGCTCCTAGGGATGAGATGCCCTCTTCTGGTCTCTGCATGTGCATCTGCACCCATGTGTGCATATACTCATACAGGTACATACTACATTGAAGAAATTAAAAAAACAGGATCGGAGAGATGGCTCAGTGTTTAAGAGTGTTTGCTGCTCTTCTAAAGGACAATTTTGGTTCCTGGCACCCATGTTGGGCAGCTCACAACTGCCTGTAACTCCAGAACTCCAGGGGATCCAACATCCTCTTCTGGACCTCAGCAGAGGACCTAGTGCATGGCAGGCATGCCAAGTCCTAATGTGCACCATTACTGTAACTTCCATCACCAGGAAACCAAAGAACCCTCCTACACAAGGGTGGTTTCAATTCTGATTGACTCTGAGGTACATAAGGTATATAGTCTGAATGTAGAAGCCATGTGTTCGAGGTCTAACTCTAGTCTGACGTATGGAGCTGTTCTCCGTTGGATTCATGTGTCCTTTTGGCCAGGGTGAAGTAGGCCATTTTGGAGATGTTGACAGCTACTGGGAGCTAAGGGCTACCTGATGCTGGCTCCCACAGGCTTGTATGGGGCACTGGGATGGGACACCTTCTTCTAGAACATGGCCTCTTGCTGCCTTCTCTGCAAGGTGTGGCCACCCAGGACCCATGCCTTTGAGGTGTCTAAGTGCCTAGGAGTTGAGAGGGTCAGGTGCTAGGAGCCACCTGAATTAGATCTTAATCTCTGGAGCGAAGGTATTCAGGCCCCACCCTACCAGGCTGTGTGGCACATTTTTCCTGACTTTGGCCTGAAGTTTCAGGGCATACCTTATCTGGCAGGCACCCCTGTGCACTGGGGAGTCACACAGGGAAGCAGGTGGACCAGACACTGCCTTTCAGCTGGTTTCAGTAGAAGCACTGTCCCTGAGGTAAGCAGACAGCATTCAGATCCTGTCACTTGTCAGCTGTGAGGTCCTGGGCAGGTCACTTGACCTCTCTGAGCTTTCATTCCACTATGAAACGAGGATAAGGCTTTCTGCTGCACTGATCTTTGATAGGTTTAGTGAAATCACAGGTGGATAAACATAAGCTTTAAAACACTGGGTACCTTTGAGAGCCACTGTTGTTGAAGAGGCTTATCTTTGCCTAATGAATGTTGACAGTCCAGGGACTTACACCTGAATGTCCTCAATCACCCTGAAATGACTTAGTGGATTCCAATTAATAAAATGTGCAACATTGAATAAAACAAGCAGTTAACAGTTTGTTCTTGATTTCTCTAGTCTAGTACCTGACTTTTTAAAACAAATTACTTTTATTTTATGTATATGAGTGATTTGCCTGTATGTTTGTAAGTGCACCCATGCAGGCAATGCCTGTGGAGGCCAGAAGAGGGTGTTGGACCCCCTGCTACTGCATAGCCCCCCTGCTTGACTGATGCTGAAAAACTGAGTTTAGACCAGGAAACTCTTGACATCTGTCTGCTCAAGAGCACTTTCACTGTCCTCTCGAGAGCTTTTATTAGAAGCTCTGTTTGAAGTTCACACAGTTTACATATGATGAGTGCTCAAGCTGTGCAAAACACAGGAACTTTCTCATCACAATGGCGAGAAAACAGCACAGCACACCCAAGGCCATGGCAAAGGCCCAGTAACAGACCTCCTTTGATGTATGCAGAAACATATGGGGGAGCTACACCTACCTGCCTGGCACACCAAGGACAGCTGTCTAGTCTTCCCAGCATCCTGGGAGCAGTGTGCCCCCTCCTCAAGTCTTTACATCAACCAAGTCCAGAGAATTCTGTTAACTCTTAGTGAGTCAAGGACAGGAGCTTGTTAACTATTAGTGAGCAGAGCGCTATTGTCCATAAAGGACAAGGGGGTAACTACAAATTTGGTCATACTTTACTACTTGTTTCTGTTAAATGTTAGTCAATTAAGCTGGGAGTGGTGGTACATGCCTTTAATCCCAGCACTGGGGAGGCAGAGGCAGGCAGCGTTACTACTTGTTTCTGTTAAATGTTAGTCAATTAAGCTGGGAGTGGTGGTGCATGCCTTTAATCCCAGCACTGGGGAGGCAGAGGCAGGCAGATCTCTGTGAGTTTGAGGCCAGCTTGGTCTACATAGTGAGTTCCAGGTAAGCTGGGGCTACAGGGAGACCCTGTCTCAAAAAGACCAAAAAAACAAACAAACAAAAAAGAGCACTGGTTGCTCTTGCAGAGGACCTGGGTTTGGTTCCCAGTACCTATATGGTCACAACAGTCCATAACTCCAGTTCCAGGGGATCTGATGCCCTCTTCTGACCTCCATGAACACTACACACACAGTGCACTTATATACATGTAGGTAAAACATCCATATGCTAGCTGGGTGTGGTGGTGCATGCCTTTAGTCTCAGCACTCCGGAGGCAGAGGCAGGCGGATCTCTGTGAGTTCAAGGCCAGCCTGGTCTACATAGTGAGTTCCAGGACAGCTGGGGCTACAGGGAGACCCTGCTTCAAATAAACAAACTAACAGACAAACCAGCTGCAATGAGAAAAAAAAACAAATAACAAAAAAAAAAACAGTGGC